TTGATGTTATAAGCAACTATCCACACTGTCTCTATACCATGACAGGCAATCAACCAAGTCACTGAGTCTGATCACCCTTTAGCCATTAAGTCGCCTCTTTCGACAAGTATGGGTTGCTGGGGCCAATTCGAACCCGGAATTTCCAACCTCTTCTTTATGAAGGTAGTCTTTTAGGTAAAACGTGATACATGTATATAATAATTTTACAAAATAAGTATTTTTTTAAGATTTAGATCCTGCATTGTTTCTGTGTGTATCCCTTGTGTCATCTTCGCCGTAAATATCCACGTATACAACTTTACATACAGTGTGTTCTAGAAACCCCAGAGCATCAGGCAAAACACGTAGTTAGAGGAAGCTATCCAGTAAAATCGAAAAGCTAAAGAATGAAAATAAAACGTTTTCAAACGATATCACAATGGAATCCCCTTTCTGCACACAGCATTAGTGTTGTAACAACACATTCATTTCTGTGAAGAAAAACCCAGTGACACAAAAAATATAGTACCATGATGCTAGCCGCGTTTTGGAATATGCAACCCTAGATTGGTATGAGCACTCAATATCTACATTTAGCGGACATTGTGTGTGGCCGTCTGTTTTATTTTGTGTGTCTCATCTAAATTATCCCGCTACAAATGTTACCGACTATAAAATATCACCTAGCTCTCGAAGAAAATACCGAATTTCCAGTTTCATAAAAATAATTGTTAGTACATTTTATTAGAAGGATTTTCAAAAAAGGGAAGTTGTCAAATTGATGCATGTAGCCCATTGTAATCTTTGGTGAAATCGAACTGACATCCAAGAATCAGAATCACGGAATCTGTGATTCGAACCCACAATCTTAGGATTCTGGTACAACTAAGGCATGCAACTCTGTACAGCATTTAAACTGATTGTGCCAATCAGACATCCTCACTGACAAGAGAAAACAGTAATAAAACATAACACTTACAGAATTCCAGCAATATATGATACTGAATCGTAAACAATCAAGTCTGGACCAGACAGACCAGTGATGATATCATGAGCAATGATCCACCTTGTCGGTACGATGATTCGCACTCAACACGTCAACACTGCCAACGTGATCAATTTTGTCGCTTCTTACCTCAGTTTCATGTTGTTTAACGCCGCAATCAGCAATATTCCAGCCACATGACGACTCTCTGTAAATAATCGAGTATGGACCAGACAATCCAGTGATTGACATCATGAACATCGATCCACGCAATTGGGATCGATGACATGCATCAACCAAGTCAGCGAGCCTGACCAACCGATCCCGTTAGTCGCCTTTTACGGCATGCATGGGTTGATGCTTCTAACCACAAGCATATGTTGTTGAAAACCAATTCTAACCCAATTCTACTGCTTTCAATACACTAATTGAATAGAAACCAACAACAAACAATACAGTGAGATTTAATTTAATCCTCTCGATGAGCAGCGTTCAGATTGAATATTTTCACTCAGTATTGAATACTGATGGTTATCTGGGGACTCTTTGCTCAATCTTTAAACGCCGCCCCAAATCATATTCCTTAAAACAAACACAAGGCAAAAAAACCAATACACAACGTGTGTTTCAGGTAACCCGACCGACCAATCAAAAGTCAAGAAATCCATATCGAACACTTGGAAAATTGTAAAAATAGTCGGATGATTCTGCATATTATATTTGCTTTAGCTATTTCGACCTACAAATTCAAGAAACATTGCAACTAACACCTCTCTTAAACGAGCTATCTGTTAAACGAAAAAAATAAATACTACACCTACCGAACCATACCTGTTGGGTTCCTGTTTCTTGAAACAAATATTATTTGGTTTGGCCTAACTACAACCAAAAAAACGGTATACTGCACCACAAATCGCATTCCTGCAAATACAAAAGTCACCCAGTCGTCTAAGGCACCGCAATTCGCTGTGCAGAATTGCGTCCCTTGGGCACACCTGAAACCTATGGTTGTGGGTTCGAATCCCGGTTCGCCCCGATTATGTTTCTAGGTTTGTCAGCACCAGACCCGTGCTCGTGGGTTTCACCGAAGTGGTAAACGTCTAAGACCTACGAGGGGCGTTCAATTAGTTTTGCAACTTCCATATAATCTCCATTCACCTCAATACACTTATTCCATTTGTCCTTCAAGCTTTTAATACCACCTATATAGAAATCCGCAGATTGGCCCCCTAACCACGCCTCCCTGGCAGCCTTTATGTCCTCGTCATCCTGGAAGCGTCTTCCACGTAGGGCAGATTTCATATGCCGGAACAGGAAATAGTCACTGGGGGCTAAGTCTGGGCTGTTAAATCACCCACCCTACAGCCCATACTTAGCCCCCAATGACTATTTCCTGTTCCGGCAAATGAAATCTGCCCTAATGAAAAGAAATCTGACAGTTATTCCGGGCAAATTTTAACGTAAGATAATTGAAAACAACCCGTATTTCATCACATAATTAAACAACGCGTTGCATACCCGGGGATTCCGGGATAGAATAGGTCCAATCACGTGCAAATGAGGTGGGTTGGTGCTCATACTGTCAGCCAGTGGTTTGTCTGGCCCTAATTCACATGTGGCTAAATGTGGTGAAATTCAACATCAACTCACTCACTCACTCACTCACTCATTCACTCACTCGAAACAGCGTGTGCAAACACGCCTGGAATAAAAAAAGGTCACTGTGGAAACTCAGAATGATTCACGTTAATGCTAAAATTATTTTACCTTGGCCTGTGTCAGCTCAATAGGTTTTAAAAGTTTAATAACCTGCTCCCAAATCAAGGCAGCCAACTGTTCGTGTGGGCTATTAATAATTTTACAGGTGGCAAACATGGCCATCTCACCTGGCCTCATCTAAACCAGTCAACGACACCCACGCAGTGCAATCTGTGTTAGGGCTTTAAAACGTTTAAATCAATCATTCATTGACACGTGAACTTTTCAGGGCCATCCATGCATGTGACAGATGTTCGTTATTGGATACGTTGTACTGAATGTGTCCAACAGGACTGATCAACCATCACCACTCGGCTCATCTCGGCTGATGCCGCTACCTACATTAGGCAGCAATGGAGTTGTGATATTTTATGAATTCACAGAATTAAATATATCTTGTAACGACATATAGTATATAGACAATTTTTTTCTGTGTGGGGGTGGGGGTGGGGGTGGGGTCACTTGCAGAGTTGCGTCCCTTAGGCGTCCCGATGAGTGAGTGAGTGAGTTGGGTTTAACGCCGCTTTTAACATTATTGCAGTTCTTATATCGTGTCAGGTTAATGTGGGGAGAAAGCCCAAAGTGATTGAGATCTCAGACGTTTACCACTTTACCAGGTCGAAATAAGAACACGTAAAGTGAATAAAATGCTCGATGGGTGGAAATAAAAAAATAACATCTTGTCTCGACGGTTCTGATCTTTCAATAAATAACTTTCTCGGGGACATTGGTCTTAGGATCTTAGGACTGTATCATAGTATGCCCTCCACCTCACTCAAATAAATGACCAGTCCCTAAATGATGTTCAGATTAATAACTTAGTCAATCCAAAATATTGAACTGTGTTATTTTTCAATCCCCCCACCGTTGACTGTCTAGAAGCACTGTTGAATGTCTAGAAGCACCGTAGAATGTCTAGAAGCATCGTTGACTGTCTAGAAGCACTGTTGAAAGTCTAGAAGCACCGTTGAATGTCTAGAAGCACTGTTGAATGTCTAGAACCACTGTTGAATGTCTAGAAGCAATGTCGGGTGTCTAGAAGCACTGTTGAATGTCTAGAAGCACCGTTGAATGTCTAGAAGCACTGTTGACTGTCTAGAAGCATCGTTGAATGTCTAGAAGCCCTGTCGGGTGTCTAGAAACACTGTTGAATGTCTAGAAGCACCAATGAATATCTAGAAGCCCTGCCTGGTGTCTAGAAGCACTGTTGAGTGTCTAGAAGCACCAATGAATGTCTAGAATCACTGTTGAATGTCTAGAATCACTGTTGAATGTCTAGAAGCACTGTTGAATGTCTAGAAGCACTGTTGAATGTCTAGAACCACTGTTGAATGTCTAGAAGCACCAATGAATGTTTTGAACCACTTTTTGTTGTCTAGAAGCACTGTTGAATGTCTAGAAGCACTGTTGAATGTCTAGAAGCACTGTCTGGTGTCAAGAAGCACCAATGAATGTCTTGAACCACTGTCTGGTGTCTAGAAGCACTGTTGAATGTCTAGAAGCACCAATAAATGTCTAGAAGCACTGTCTGGTGTCTAGAAGCACTGTTGAATGTCTAGAAGCGCCAATGAATGTTTAGAAGCACCAATGAATGTCTAGAACCACTGTCTGGTGTCTAGAAGCACTGTTGAATGTCTAGAAGCACCAATGAATGTCTAGAAGCATCGTTGACTGTCTAGAAGCACTGTTGAATGTCTAGAAGCACTGTTGGATGTCTAGAAGCACTGTTGAATGTCTAGAAGCACCGTTGAATGTCTAGAAGCACCGTTGAATGTCTAGAAGCACCGTTGAATGTCTAAAACCACTGTTGAATGTCTAGAAGCAATGTCGGGTGTCTAGAAGCACTGTTGACTATCTAGTAGCACCGCTGAATGTCTAGAAGCACCAATGAATGTCTAGAAGCACTGTCGGGTGTCTAGAAGCACTGTTGAATGTCTCGATAGTATTCATTCATTTTGTGCTTCTGTTCAACAGTTTGTGGTTCGGGGGGTGAAATTCCGAAGTGTGAGGTTTGCTTGATAGAAGTCAGGCTGAACTAACATATGTTCCATGAAATATTTTAGAAAAAAATACATTTCTCTCTTCTTCTTCTTCTTGTTTCTAATGCTGACTCCATAGATTACAGACAGCTATACCTCCCATATTTAAATCTTAGTTGGTTTAGACAAAATTAAATGCAGATAGTCGAAAGTCACGGTGCAATAGATCCACTGAAGAGTGGCTAATGTAATATTGTCCGTATTTTACTATAGACGGTAGAACGGCACTAGCTGGTTAAGTGATCCGGATTTATCCACTTTGACCTTCCGGCCTTTCTAGCTGCAAGGTCGCTGCAATCTCTAAATTATGAAACGCTGTACCCCGGTTTTTTTAGTGGGTAAGTATAGTCAATATTTGTTAATATTTTACGATAGCTTTGTGAATGATGCACAAATAGCCTGTTGTGATTTCCTACCCGCGTGTTACTTGTTTCCGTGATAGACCGGTGTCTATACCGTACAGACGCTCAATGTCAGACTCGCTCAATGCCGTGCACATGGCAGCACTGATGGTCACCAGGTTAACAGTTACTGCTGGTGTCAGTAGATGCGAGATGATAGTTTTGTTGAAATAACACTATGTTTATTTTTGAGTGTGTTTGAGCCAAGCTATCCTAGATTAGTGACATCATCTTTTGATAATGATTTATATATTAGGGCCAGACAAGAGATTTTTGAATTTAGTTTTTCGTTTTCTCTCATTTCAACAGTAAAATACTTTCTTCAGCACAAAACTACTAAATGCTTCGGGCAAATCACGTAAATGTAAGAGAAGAGAAATGATAATTTAGCACAGGAACTCGTTATTGGTCAGTAAATAAAAATATATACACACCCCATATATATCAGTACACATTATACCGGACACCAATCGGCCATGTATGTTTGATGCTACTAATAAAGTATTTTGTAACTACTTTTGTAATGAAACATTTCATTTTTTTACGAAAGCATTTAATTCAGGCTGTTGAGTGGGGGTGAAGCCCCTTCAACCCCCTGTTATTTTAGCAAGGCGAAAAAAATGGCGTCTGAAAAACAGAGAAACCGTTACTAAGGAATAAGCTTGTGCACATCACTTACCAAAATCTTGGAATATGTTGGGTATACTGCATTCATGCCCAGTTCTCTACTGATCATTCTGATATGTAGGGGATATATATTTATTTACTGACCAATAAAGAGTTCCTGTGTAATTTATTAATTACATTTATTAATAGGAGTCTTATTAGCTGTGAACTCATAGCTGTGAATATCATAAGTGAGTTTGGTGTGATTATAGAATCTGTTCCCCACCAAATAGTATACTAATTGTCTCTGTCTCCAATCTAGACTCTCCCTTCATTGGTCTGGCATGCCTTTTCGATCCTTAGGGTTAGGACCCGTGAAGATTCCGGGGTAGAATAGGTCTTCAGCAACCCATGCTTGCCGTAAAAGTCGACTATGCTTGTCGTAAAAGGCGTCTAATGGGATCGGGTGGTCAGGCTCCTTGACTTGGTTGATGCATGTCATCAATCCCAATTGCGTGTATCGATGTTCATGATATTAATCACTGGATTGTCTGGTCCAGACTCGATTATTTACAGACCGCCGTCATATAGCTGGAATATTGCTGAGTGCGGCGGTAAACAACAAACCAACCAACCTTAGGGTTAGATGTGTTAGGGTTTGGGTAGGTTATCCCAGGGTTAAGGTACCAGTTTCATGGCAAACATATCATTTAGCAACCACCTGATTTTGAACCAGCCTTCAAATGCTTTTAAAAAAAAAATCAGGAATATCATAGAAATTATAATACCCCTAGTTCCCAAGACATCTGGGATGGCAAGATCAGCATCAAACTTCAGTACATAATGATGGCATGAGTTATAGCGTCAGCTATGTATGAGTGACCAGTAGATGTCAGATAGTAAATGCGGAGCAGTCAACATAGCTATAATTTTGCAGCTTGGAGTCTTATTAATTGTCTCATTCAGGCTCTCTGGTACAATATTTATAACAAATAACAAGATCACGTCTCCACTTCCAGACTAATGGCTGCCAGGTGTTTCCTGCGGTGCATTGTGGTTCCTCAGTCCCGGTTGACAGTGAGAGGACCACAAGTACCGGGGTTGACATTGGTTCGCTGCTGGTGTCGACTGCGCTCCAGTGTCGTGGAGGGAAGAACAAGCCTGGTGACGACAAGGACAGACAGTCCAGATGAGAGTTTCACACTGCTGCCCCGTGGCATCCCGGCTGACAAGGATGAAGTGAGTTATGTGTTTTACCTTGACCTACAAGTCTAGGGGTACAAGGGACCCCCAATAATTAAGTTCAAAGGTCCCTACAGGATATATTAGGGTCCTGTTAACTAATGAATTCCTGTAGTGTCGTGTAAGATTTGATTCTATAATTACAGGACTTTGTCAAGATTTTGGTACACTAAAAATATTATGATGTGTCCTTCCGGATGCAATATTCAGAGATGCCATCCTTTACGCTTTTGGTGTTATAATTGCGCTTTTGATCCTAAAATTACGCTATTACAATAATCCTCCCCAAATTATGGTTGTTTTATCAAATTTTTTCCACAAAGTATTTACATGTATAAAATATCATGGAGAGCAAACTGTTAATGCACCGAAACCAAGCAAGCCTTGCAAAGGTTTAGTTCTACACCGCGTCATTTCACTCAGTGTGACGCAAAATATATAACGTCCTATAAAGAAAAGTGTCAATTAGCAAGGTAACTGTTAAACTTGAAATACATTCTCTTTGTAGATTTCTATCATGTTTTCTGCACGAAATGTATTGCCACACAACCTTTGAATATCCTAATTACCGCAACTTTGCATTTTGTAACCTATAATTAAACAAATAATTATATAAATGTGCCTACTGACGATGATTTAAAAGAAGTACTATTCTAAAAATATTAGGTGATAGGGCTTTCAAATTGGCTATTTCAATCAAAGGGGTTTTATCAAAAGTATTTTAAAAATTCATGTTAGAATTCTCGTTATTGTACCTTGCACTGTGGCTCATGATATCAATCACTGGATTCAACTATTTACATGCTATTGTCATGTAGGATACAGGAGGAATGTTATTGGATGAGACATTAAGCAAGAAGCAATCAAACATTAATGACAATCGCTGTCATGATTAATTATTGTCATTTGTTAAACATTTTGTAAATATGAACTAACCCCCATTGCTAATACTGTGTTTGATGTTTGTTTGTTGTTTAACACTGCTTTCAGCAATATTCGAGCTCTATGACGGCGGTCTGTGAATAATCGAGTCTGGACCAGACAATCCAGTGATTGACATCATGAGCATCGATCCACACAATTGGGATAGATGACATGCATAAAGCAAGTCAGCAAGCCTGACCACCCGATCCCGTTAGTTGCCTCTTACGACAAGCATGGTCCTTTTTTTGGCAAGCATGGGTTCCTGAAGACCTATTCTACCCCAGGTCTTCACGGGTCAATGTACAGTGTTTGAAACTAAGCATGAGAAAGTGCAATGGGTCCTTGTAATAACCCTTATGTTCAAGGTGGTCACTAGATTCAAACCTCAAAGAACAACCCCAGCGACTGCCATTCTTTTGAACACTGTTTATCAAGCTCCTTCCCAGCGCATGACACCTTCGTTACACTCTCGGTAGCATCGCTGCCACCAGTGTGGGCATGGCCATTACATGAATCTTGAAATTTGGCCTCTTACCCCAAATGTAGTAACATTCATACTTTTGTTTATGTCTTTGGGCATGCCGCCATAGTGAATTTTGAAAAGGTTTACGACTGACCATGTTTTCCAGATAAATTTACTTTGTTGTTTGTATAATCAGATTGTTTTGAGATTGCAGACTAACCGAATATCAACCAACTTCTCCCTTACATTCTTAATATATCAATAACATGATAGTCTTAATGAAATAGAAATTCAAATTGACAAACAAAGAAAGTTATTTAGCAGGGGTAAGTGTATTCGGCGTCACGACAGTCGTTGTTTGTTTGTAAACATAACAGTCTGTCGGTTGCGAGTTCAACTCCAAGCATGGTTGGGGCCACAGTGGGGAGTTTTGACTGGTGGCTGTGATAGTATAGAGAGCTTCGCAAACGGGCTATCGCTGCGAGGAGCTTGACTGTTTATGTAACATAGATAATAGGTTTTCTTAATCCTATTGGTTTCTACTAGAGGTGTCATTGATTGGAAAATTTCTACTTTCAGATACTGAATGAAATCAACAATGTCCTGTATGGCAAGCCAGCCAACATCCAAGCCCGTCATGGTATCCACAGTCGTCTGGAGACCCTGGAAAGTGTGGGGTGCTCCCTCGACGACATCCACAACAACCCTGACGTGCTGCTTCTCACCGAGGTACAAGTGTTCAAGGCGGTCCAGAAATTACGCAAATGGCATCTGGATGTAAACGTGGAAAGTGTCAAGATCGCTCATCTGCGCTCAAGAGGAGCATTTCAGAAGCTGGTCCAAAATCACCAGAAAAAGGAGAGGTTTGAAATTGCAAAACTGTTGCAATGTTCAGTGGAAGACTGCGAGACACTAGGGAAACAGTACCCTTTCCTGAAATCTGAAACTGCGGAACGACTCGCACCCAAGATTGACTATCTTCTCTCTACTGGCATCACTCTGGATGAAGTACGGGAAAACTGCTTCATCCTTAAAAGGAAGTTGGACGATCTTGCTGAAGTAGCAGCTGGAATTCAGAAAATCCAGTGTGGCAAAGTGGGAATGTTTGACAAAGAATCAAAAGACCTTTTTCTCGACACCGAAAAGTTACTTCTTTATGCAAGAGAAAAGACTGATAAGAAGCAACAACGATGTGAACACGTTGCTCGGTTATTACAAGTAGATATATCCCAGCTGGATGTGAAATATTGTGCGGTGCCACTGAAGACAGTCTTGCAGAAAATAGTATTCCTGCTGGACCAGGGCATTAACAAGAAGGATCTCCTGAACCACCTCTACCTCATGCAGATCAGTCTCTCAACCCTACAACGAACTGTCCAGACAGCGCACAACGTGGGTCTGACTAAATTCACTGCGATGTCTCTCATCAACATCCTACAACATAGAACAATTTCACCCAAACCAGGCAAAGCCAGACACCATAATTTTGTAGCCCGTCAGCTTGATTTGCCCAAAACTGTATTTTCAAATTTGGGACCACGTTCGAATCTCGTTTTCTCACGGGACAAAGCGATATTAAAAGCAAATATTGATTATCTGAAGGGTAATGGGTTCTCCAGTAGAGATATTCATGATTGTGTGTTGATTATTGGTCATGATCCCGATGTGTTGAAGTCGTACCTGGAATCATTGTCTGAGCGGCTAGAGGTCCAGCCGTATGAGATCGCAGACAATGTGGTGGTGTTAAATGCTGTACAGTACTTCATAGAGAGAGATGGGAACTTCAACTGCAAGGAACAGCTTAGTGATGTGAAGGAGTACGTGGCCCCTGGATGCATGGCCGACCCGCACGAGGAGGACTTGTCTTAATAGACACTGATGGATCTCGAATTGGGGCATTAGGTTTGAATCCTGAATGATAGAAAAACATGTTTTCTTGTTTTTGAAATACTTGCGAAGATTGTCAAACTCCAAAGCAAAACACACACACACACACACACACACACACACACACACCAAGCAAGCATACATACTGACACATACCATGGTTAAAATTCCAATGTGTACACTGTGGATGTCATCGTATATCGTGATATTGATGTATCGCTACATTTTTATGTTGATGCTGTATCAAAACAAATTTGTGAATGTTGATACCAAATTAATAACTCACTGCCACAGAACGTTTATGTTTATTGAGGACAGTTTGAAGGCCGAAAATTCAATGTTAAACAATTAAAGGATCATCCTAGTTCATACATTACAACAGCATTAAATTGATTAATTGCAGATCTACAGAGGTAATTTATATCTATACACATACAGAATACTGAATTATGTCTAACTCTTCTTACTCTGTTCACTGGCATCAATGACCATCCCCCTCCCAAGAGCCTGGTTGGCTTTAGACTTGCTATTTCAGTGTACCAGGTGCGTGTTTGATGAATGAGTTGGGCTGGGGGTCCAAACTGATATTAATGTGTGATCTCTTGTCAAAAATAGGAACATTTACAGGGTATAGTACTGAAAAAAGGTGATAAAAAATATTGACATCTCATGGCTCGTGTTTGTTGTGTGTTGTAGTCATTCTTGGTGCTGGCGTCACAGCAAATGTAGGGTAACAGAGACCTTGGGACCATCAACATTGTATTGAGTTGTCCATCATTCAAACAAGTTGAGCGTCAAAACTGGATAATAGTGCCAACACTTTTACTACTGAGGCCTTGAATAGAGATTATTGTTGTTTTGTTTTTGTTTAATGCCGGACTCAGCACTGTTCCAGCCATATGATGCAGGTCTGTTAATAATCCAGCCAACAATCCAGTGATTGACATCAAAAGGCGTCGATCTGTGCAATTGGGATACGATTGCATCAAGCAACTCAGCGAGTCTGAGCATCCATCATTGGAGTATCCCATCAGCTGTGACCTTTATCCAGTGTTTGATGGGCAGGAGGTAGCCCAGTGGTTAAGGCGTTCGCTTGTCGAGCTGATGGCCTAGGTTCGATTCCCCATATTGGTACAATGTGTTAAGCCCATTTCTGGTGTCCCCCGCTGTGATATTGCTGGAATATCGCTAAAAGTGACGTAAAACCATCCACACTCATTCACCCCAGTGTGTGTGTGTGTGTCACTTGTGACAGTGTAGCCAGTCCTCAGATAAACAGATTTGCATTAATAACACAAGGCATATATATCATTTACAAACAAGAATACAATCCTGTTGAACTACACCAATCCTGAACTGTCGGACATGATTTTCAAAACTGTTAAGGAAGGTTGATTAACAGTTGATTACAAGGACCTGTAGCTCACCTGATTAATGAGTTAATACTTTTTATAACTTCAACATATAGTGAGTTAAAGAAGTATTGGTGTAAAAGATTTTGAGAAGAAGTAAATATATATTTTGGAACACAGTTTAGGAAAGGGATTTTAAGTGCAAATAGTGATACCTTGGACAAACATGGATCTTATTATGGATCCATTTATTACATTCACACAAAAGTTTAGCTCTGTGGTTCTTAAGCATGTTAAGAGCAAGATTTTAAAACGTTTTGTAAAATTTGTTAAATATTTTGAAAACAAATCATTGATTTGAACCAGATCAGTTGTCTTCATAAGAAGGAACCTGTATGCCTTTACTTAAACTGCAAAGGTCATTGTCAGGGTTACTGGAGGTCACAATGTCATGTACGTCACAAGGTAGTCCGTCACAAGGAAGAGACCAGTCATGGCTAACTGACACACTAGTCAAATAGGCCAAAATGCTAGTCAAGTTTTGTTTTCATGGCAACAATATGGAAAACCTACCTTTTAGCCATTGCTCCAATCTGTATGCAGATAATTTGATGAAACATGGTGGCTTGCTAGTGTGCAGTTGGGTCTTAAATATGGTTTACAAGTTTTGCACCAACTTGAACTTCGATATTTATTGCCCATGATAGAATATTCATTTTGGTAACGGCCAAATATTTTGCTGTTGGGTTGTTAGGCCCCGCTACTAACTGCACCTATGCCAAATTTCAATACATTTTGAAAACAGATGGCTGATTAATCATGTTAATATTCATTAATGGATTTCTTAAAATCAGGTCATAATTAATGTTAGAACTTATTAGAGACACCATAGCAGGGCTGAGACACCATAGCAGGGCTGAGACATCATAGCAGGGCTGAGACACCATAGCAGGGCTGATACACCATAGCAGGGCTGAGACACCATAGTAGGGCTGAGACACCATAGCAGGGCTGAGACACCATAGCAGGGCTGAGACACCATAGCAGGGCTGAGACACCATAGTAGGGCTGAGACACCATAGTAGGGCTGAGACACCATAGCAGGGCTGAGACAGATAACACAGGTACTCAGGTCGGGTGGGTCCTGAGTAGGACCCTGGTACCCACATGACTACCCTATCCGTGGTTAGTCACGTTATATACTGTTTAATGACGAACAATAAAACTCAATGGTTACACTACAAACATAGCTAAAGTTCACATTTCTTTCTCACTATGCAGGCATTCGTTCTGACTTTTATATGTTCGAGTAAGGATAAAGGGTCTATCAACTGTAGAGTATACATGAGCAGATCGTTTTAGACGTGTATCTGAATAGTTTTTGCCAGGGTTGCAGTAAAACAATTCCCATTCGGACATTTTGTTACCCAACTCTTGAGACTTATAGCGGGTATCCGGAAAGGGCCGGGTAGTAGGGTGTCGGGTACCCGGGTAGTACATTTGGACTCGTCCCAGCCCTACATCATAGCTGGGACCATTCATACAAAGTTTCAGCTCCATAGGCCTTGTAATTTCGGCGATGTTGCCAATGCAATATCACTAGAAAAAGAGGGTAGATAAATTCAAGAGAAATAACACATTATACGTGATTCCGAAAACCACATACACCATACTTGCCGCTTTAAAATTGAATCTGAAATTATGTGAGGTGAAATGGGGGTTATCGATGTGTCCAAGATTATTGCACTTATTTTTCGTGTGTGTGTGTGTGTCTGTGTCTGTGTCTGTGTGCTTGTACTAGTCCGGATTGATGCTGATTAAGAGTGCTAGCCTACTGTCACAGTTAAACATGAATACCTCACTCAGACACAGTATACTGATTCCGAGCTGACCAGTCCTTCTTTAGCGTCTTTGGTATCACAGATCGGGGATCAAACTCCGGACCTTCCGCTCTCTAGGCGGATGCACTACCGCTAGACCACGGTGGCTGTCCTAAAATTATTTGAGCAAGGTTTAGAGACAATATAGCTGGCGTCATTCATACATAGTTTCAGCTCCATGGGCCTTGTAGTTTCAGAGGAAATGTCAAAATTGCAAAGGCAACAACTGGCGGTCAATGGCAAACACTCCATGACCTATGCTCACTTAACTTTCAGTTAGGTGAGCTAAAAACAAAAGACAAAAGTCTCTGAGTGAGCATAATATCTTCACATATATTTAATCAATAAAATGCCTGTGTACAAATACTCTGTTATACAGTATGAAATATATACACAGACTTTACCTACATGAAATGAAAGCACATGAGAATAAAATCAGCAGAGAAATATACATTTAGCTGAACATTGAACATAACTTGAAGGCTGGAAATAAAGATATTTAAAAGACGGACTCTTCCCTGCCAGCTGGACTGCCTGACGTCATACGGCAGCAAGCTCTGCCGGCTGGACTGCCTGATGTCACACCGGGGCAAGCTCTGCCGGCTGGACCGCCTGACGTCACACCGGAGCAAGCTCTGCCGGCTGGACCGCCTGACGTCACACCGGAGCAAGCTCTGCCGGCTGGACCGCCTGACGTCACACCGGAGCAAGCTCTGTCGGCAAGACCGCCTGACGTCACACCGGAGCAAGCTCTGTCGGCTGGACCGCCTGACCAATTTTCCAGCAATACCACGGGGGGGACACCCGAAATGGATTTCACATATTGTACCCATGTCGGGAATCGATACCCGTTCTTCGGTGTGACGAGCGAATGCTTTAACCACTAAGCTACCCGACCTCCCGTCATTTAATAAGCCTGACCAGACAAACCAGTATCTGATAGTGCTAGCACTGATCTGGAAACTATTTGAATGGTGACACACTCATCCTGGTGACAGCTTGTTGATATTCATAAACTAATTACCTAGAACCAATCTACCTGGTAGAGACAAACCATTAGTTTAGGAATTGATACAATTGATATAATTGAATCTGTTATCAGTTGACTCAGTCCACACTGGTGGCCATTGTGTCCATCTGATCTCCATCATGTTAAATGTGGCACCTCCAAAAAGTGACTTTCTTCAAAATGTGCCTCTGTTTACCCAACAGTAACCATGTGATTCTAGAACCTCACAGGCAGCTTGGGTAGTATACTCCCCAGGAAGCTGAGAATGAAAAACGAGTGCACACTGATCTATTGGCCAGGGTAATTATCATGGAAAGGCACCTTTGAGCAAACTAGCTGGACTTGGTGCTATATTATTGTTATCATGTATCATTATCAGGCTATATATATCATATCACACAGGACAGTTTACAGGTTGTAGGGAGGAGTCCTTCTTTAAGAAATCTTAAGAAACAAACAAACAGTCTACATGGCTTTCCTTTCTGGATATTTGCATGTAGAAAGACTTTAAATAAGACGCGTTACATCGGAATGAACAGTATGTGAAATATGAACTCAGAAACAGGAAAAGATTTACCGCAATGAATTTGTAAACTTTAACTCCCAGGTAACCATAACAACACCTGAAGCCATGGTGTTACTCAGTACACAGCGCCATCGACCCTAAATTTCACAAATGGGGAATAAGAATACCAATTTGAGGGCCATCATATTGTAACTCCCACAGTGTGAATAAGCTTTCCTCAAAAACTAAAAGCGTTGCTGGCGTTAGGCCTCAAGAAATGAAAGCCACATGCAAGTTAAGCACCATTTAATTGTTCTTCCTTTCGATATGAGAAGAACTTTTGAAAAGTTGGACCTGGCAATGTCTGGATCAGTATTTTGCAGATCTTCACAGTGTGCCAACAAACAAAATTCATACAGCATTTGCAATCGATCACCACATTTTGCAGTTTGGTTACAACAAAACCAAATATATTATCTGTCATTTGGTCAATACAAAATATTATAATTATATTATTATATTGTTATTTGTACAAGGCTACAAAAGGAAGTAATAACAAGAAAAACTGTTTTGGAGGTGAAGTCTCTGAATGTTTTAATTATTTGTTTTTTAATATTTCAATTTACTATTAATATCACAATAACTAGAATTGCAACTGCCCAATAGATTTGAATTGACTCAGATTTTTCACAAAAGGTCTGATGATTATATTTTTGGGACTTTCTAACGATTAAAAGGTCAAGAACAAAGAATACTACTAACAATTGAAATGAATAGCATACAAAATACTATATTTTGAAATGCCTATTGATATTGAAGTGCTTTAATTTCCTAAAAATGGAAGTTAAAACAAACTACTATGAATCAGGGATTTGCAAAATGCATTCTTTCCATCAAAACCTGTAACAGTTCTTTTTGAAAACATTGATCTGCCTAAAAACTTAGGACTATCTGAAGAGTGAGTGAGTGAGTTGGGTTTAACGCCGATTTTAACAGTATTCCAGTTATATCACGGCGTGTCAGCTTAATAAGGGAGGAAAGCCCGAAGTGATGCAGGTCTCAGACGTTTACCACTTCGGTGAAACCCACGAGTACGGGTATGGTGCTGACAAACCTAGAAACATAATCGGGGCAACCCGGGATTCCAACCCACAATCATAGGTTTCTGGCGTGGCCAAGGGACGCAACTCTGCACAGCGAATCGGGCGCCTTAGATGACTGGGCCACCCGTGCCCCCTTCTATACTTGGTCGCACAGACCGAATGTTTCCGCAGTATTGCAAGGTCAACACTTCATGGGTTTGTGTACAGGCTATGTTCCTCCATCACCCCGGAACACACGGGGCTGCTATGCAAGTAATAGTAAGTCTGTCTGTATTCACAAGTGATTGATGAACATGGTGAATACAAACCTGTGAAGTACTCGCGATGTCAGTTCGATAATTCAACACTTAATGTCATTAGTTTGTTGGATTATCACAATAGGAACCATGTGTGGCCCCTAAACAATATCAGTGTCAACATTTACCTAACTAAACCTGAAACTTACACAACAGATTACTAAATCATTGTTCAACAGATTGTTCCAACATAAACTGAAAAATCAGAAACACTGCCTTCTCATTAAAATCTGATCTTTGACTCCGATATGATACACCTGTGTTAAAATCCTACAACACCTCCACAGAATGTCCGCCAATCTACATGAAGGTGTTTTGGTTCTAGAGCCAATCAGATTTCAGAAACAATTCGACTTCATTTCTCAATCACTTCGATCAGGAAATGTCATTCATAATAAAAGAAAACCAACAGAGAATTTGCTTTTCTTTCTATGGACGGCATTTGGAAGTAGATGCCATGGCCCTGGGAAACAACTGGGTGTATAAAATATCCCAAAGGTGCTGGGATAATTACTTACATTCAGAACTGGTCGTTTATGGAAGAAAAACTTACAAGAAGCCATTGACATGAGGCGACACCAGCCAGCCATGAATCGTGACCTGGGAACCTATCTGCCCAGTGCTTGGGACTTATTGCTTTGATTATTGTCTGTGCTAATTATCCAGCTGTCTTCCATTTGTCCTTTGCCATGTCCAGTCTATTAGTCAGTGTCCCCCATTTGCACATTGTTCATTGCCTATTACCAGTCAGTGATCATTAATATCCTGGCTTCCTGTTGTCAATCACTATCACCTATCAGCCCTAATTAACTGTTAGCTTCTGGCTTCCATTTGTCCTTTGCTAATCACCTATCAGCACCAATTAACTGTTGGCTTCCCTTGTTAAAATTCCACCTTTGTTACTTTTGTTGTTCTTACAGGTACATATATATGTTCTCTGCCTCATAGCATTCATTCACCTGATGAAGGATTAAGTATATGCTCTGAAGCGTTCTGTTCCTCATAATAAAGAAGTTGAGATGCATAAATTCTCTTCGTTATGTGTATCACCTCCAAATGCCATTCAAAGACTGGGTCATTGAAGTTCCGCCTTGAGATACCGATATCAGGATGGTGTGACTGCTTGCTCACCCATACCCAAAATTTAGAAAACTAAACCCTGGTATGCTGATACGAAAGTTGACCTGACGCGACCTGCTGTGGAGTGTCATCAGATCTTCATACACAGAATATCGGAGTAAAAGACCTGATCTTAATGAGATTCAAGCAATATCAGCATCACATTATCAGGGCACAATCAACATGTTCAGCAACTGCATAAATTGTGAAGACGGATTTACATATGCCATTGTAAACATGATACAGACAGACAAAACTAAAGCACAAAGAAAATCACAGATATTCATGACACATTCATCTTAGTATGATCTACATACTGGACCCACGACAACTCGGATGGTGGCCACGATGTTGCAGACTTCGGAGAATAACAAGCCCGCTGAACATTTTTATAACCTGAAAGATCTTTTGCTCAAAAGTCAGAGTCAAGAGTCATACTATTTAGAAATGGCATTCCTTTCTGGAAATGAGGGAAACTTTACAAACTTAAATTAAATTAAATCTCCAATTAAATTATTCAAAGATGAAAACTGTTGTATTAGGCTTAAATAAATAAAAGAATTGGTTCTTAGGCAATGACTTTTGAAAATTTTGTGTGGGTGTGCGGTGTTTTCTTTTAGCTTGTTCAAACTAGTATGTAACCAAATAAACAGTTGTGTACCATCAACCTGGGAAAGAGCCTCCCTACATAAACAAGCAAACAAACTCGTACTGCCACCATGACCACAACACAGGATGTGCAGTATAGCAGTGGGCATGTTAAGGAAAGTAACTGTGTACTATACTCGATCGCATTGTTTTTAAGTACATTAGTGTATTAGGTTTTTTAAAACAAAACATGCGGATGCGGCAGACTTTATGATGATGTGGGCGGTGCCTGAGAACCAAGACTATTATTGTTTTTTAGACATAAACCACTACAATTACTTTCGTGTTCTTGACACATATTTTTTTCTCCAACTCTATGGAAAAAAGTCATACAACTGTATATGTGGTATTATATCCTGACAAATATATCAATGTTGATAAAAGAGTATCTGATGTTGATGAGATAATCGTCGGTTTCAGCCAGTGAGCATCATCTCAGTCTCTTACACGATGTCAGTGGTGGGCTCCGGCACCTGAAAGGGTTCTTCATAGAAATTTGATATTGATGATAGGTCACAGTTACTGGTACAATGCCTTGTTGGTTGTCAGCCTCACAGAAACCACTCCCAAGGTGATCTGTGGCCCAGGGGTAGACAACTCTCTTTGACTGCTGAAATGATTGAACACAGGAATGCTGTTTCCATCGTAACGAGGTATACGAGTTGTTACTACATGGTGAAGTGTCGAGTGTAGTCGTATTCTATTGTGGGTATCACTGCCTGGACAAACTTGAGGAATATCATTAGGTACCTGTAGCTGTGTCAAGGAAGACAACATGAGTGAGTGTGTGAGTGAGTGAGTGAGTGAGTTGGTTTGTGGGTGAGTGAGTGAGCGAGCATAATGTTGCCTTGAACTGTGTTTCAGTTATATCACAACATGTCATCTTGTTACAAGCGGTAAGCCCCATGGAACGAAGGTCTTAGATGTTTACTACTTTGGTGAAACCCACATGCATCCCACCGCCAGATTCATAATCAGAGAATCTGGGCTTCCAGCATACCTGTGGGATCCTCCTGGATGAATAGCATCTGACCACATACCTCCAGAAACATACCTGCTAGTTTTCTATGAAGTGGTATATCTCTTTTGGTTTCAAATCTGAAAAATGTAGAGTCAGCAATATTCCAACTATGCTATCTTTTATCAGAAAAATCCCTATTGGGACTCCTGGTCAACTCCAGACTTCATGAAATAGAAGACCAAATTATTTGAAACCTATGTTAGCTTGAGGTTTATAGTTTGTAAATGTTCTCATAAAGGTATATTTATATAGGTTTTTCGCCTGGCTCTTAGTTATGCGGTCGTTTCTTGGAATGGTGTCCTGTGTGAAACCATGGAACACATGATTCCCTGATGTCATGATGTATAACTCTTGGTAGCACAAAGAGGTTTTTTGGAAGCAACCCTTACACAAGTTTATCACTAATCCTTGTAAAATCCTTTGAATTTTCGTGATTAGTTTCAGCTTCCTCGTGTACGTCTCAAGGTTGAGGTCCTTACAGACTAGGGTATCTGCACCCCACCATCTAACCATGGGATAAATGCATATTGTTAGATTGGATAAGTTTAAAAAATTGTAAATTTTCTCATAAATTGTATATTTGTATACTTATCCTATCTCACACGCTAAATGCCCACCCAACCATCCCAACCATCCCCGCATCACAGTTACACCAGCCTGTACGCTCTAGATTGAGAATGAGGGTGCTGGATATGTCAGGTGATCAGGTCGCAGGGGTCGTGTCGGACGGGATCGCAGTGGTGCGTGACCAATGACCACAGTGGTGATTTGGTGATGTATGGGACGTGTTGGGGTGATTGGTGTTTTTTTGAAGCTGGAAACTGTTCTAGGGCATTTCCACACCAGGATCGAAGAATAAGAAAAAAATGCATAGTGTGATATGGGATTAAGTTTAAAATTAAAATTTGAGAGGTTTCAAATTTGAAACAATTTAAGGTTTCCAATAGGACATAATATTCAGATTGGAATGAAGATAGATGGCTCCTGTCAAATGGAGATCTGATTTTACTGTCAGGGCTGAGTAGCAGAAGGATACATATGAACACCAAGCTCGCCGCCGCCCTCAGCAACCGTCTGTATGATCTTCTTCATCACATCAGCATGTCTGGGAGGTAAAGAAAACATCCATGATCAACACTCACTTCATAATAAAGACAAATTCCAACTTCAATCATTGTAATGTATATACAGAAAATGTACTGATGCTATAACCCTGTGATGTTCCTACCTGCAAGGATGTACTGATGCTATAACACTGTGATGTTCCTACCTGTAAGGATGTACTGATGCTATATCACTGCGATGTTCCTACCTAGAAGGATGTACCGATAATATAACCCTGTGATGTTCCTACCTACAAGGATGTACTGATGCTATAACACTGTGACGTTCCTACCTGCAAGGATGTACTGATGCTATAACACTGTGATGTTCCTACCTGCAAGGATGTACTGATGCTATAACACTGTGATGTTCCTACCTGCAAGGATGTACTGATACTATAACACCGTGATGTTCCTACCTGCAAGGATGTACTGATGCTATAACACCGTGATGTTCCTATCAGCAAGGGTGTACTGATGCTATAACTCTGTGATGTTCCTACCTGCAAGGATGTACTGATGCAATAACACCGTGATGTTCCTACCTGCAAGGATGTACTGATACTATAACACCGTGATGTTCCTACCTGCAAGGATGTACTGATGCTATAACACTGTGATGTTCCTATCAGCAAGGGTGTACTAATGCTATAACACCGTGATGTTCCTACCTGCAAGGATGTACTGATGCTATAACACCGTGATGTTCCTACCCTGCAAGGATGTACTGATGCTATAACACCGTGATGTTCCTATCTGCAAGGATGTACTGATGCCATAACACTGTGATGTTCCTACCTGCAAGGGTGTACTGATGCTATAACACCGTGATGTTCCTACCTGCAAGGATGTACTGATGCCATAGGAGGACCAGGTAGATTCGGGTGTCCCTCCATGGTAACAGTTTTTTTAGCATGGTCTTGACTGAAGTCTTCATACATCTGTTCTACTGTTAGTGGTTTTCGATTCTGCAGTACAAGACACTCATCAAATTAAGATTGAGAGAATGGCTGATATTACAATGATTTGCTTGTTTTTTGTTAAACGCAGCACTCAGCAGTATTCCAGCTAAATGACGACCACCTGTAAATAATCAAGTCGGGACCAGACATTCCAGTGATTGATATTGTGAGCAACAATCCACACCGTCAAGATTATTAACACTCTATCAACCAACTGAGCCTTGTCTCCTCTAACAACCAGCATAGGTTGCTGCGGACCTACTCTAACCCACAATCCCCATGTTGTGGAATCAATTTCAATATCATTAAAATCAGATCTTAGTCTTTGCTACCGCAAAACAAAGATCTGAGGACATCCCATTAGGGTCACGTCAGAACGACCTTTCGCGAAATTTGACTGACCAACGAAATGACTGACAAGAAATTGACATTTGCCAATCAGAAGGCAGCTTTCTCGAGCTTTACGACACTAGTTTCAAACTGGCGACTACGCTTCAAAACATATTTTGACGTATTCGCGATTAAAATTTTTAAAACTGATAAGAACATTCTGAAATGGCTTGTAGATGCCCTAGATTGTATGGATATAATCATAAAACCTGTAACTGTCGTTTGGAATAACCCGTGTTAAATATATCGTGGTTGCATTATTAGAAAACACATTCCGACTGTCACTTTCATGATCTGGTAAGCAACGCTCTGATTGGTTGGATGAAAGATGATTCTGACGTGACCGGTAATGGGATGTCCTCAGATCTTTGTTTAGCGATAGCGAGAACTAAGATCTGATTTTAATGAGATTGAATCAATTTTTTGTACGACAAGTAACATGAATACATCATCTTCATCCCCGCCCCCAACTACGTCACTACTAATGGCCCAACCTCAGTGCGTTTTGTTACCCCTAAATACCTTGACAAAACAAATAACAAAAATGGTGTCCTTCTTCCTTTACATGACAAAATACACCACATTCCTACCAAACCATCTTCCCGAGGCAAGACCGTCCACTAGCCCTTTTATCAAAGTCTTGTTTCCACCCTTGCCACATCAAGCCCACTTTCCTGTGCTAAATATGATTGAACTACTGCACATATCGTTAGTCGATTCAGAGAACGTTTCACAAAATCAACATACACCACTAGTACACCTTCGTATGAAAGTGATTTGCCATTGCCTGTCTGTGTTTACACGAATTTGTCTTCTCTTAAACCCCCCAACGATTGCCTATGTTTTTGTGTCAGGGATGAAATTGCAAATGTTTTCATTATCTGATTGACTAGGCATCGTCTATGGTAGTGTCATCTTTGTGAAGCTATACAAGATAAGAACAGCAATCTGATTGGATATCGCGTTTTCGTTACAAGGGTCACAACTCGTTATCTACGTGAGGTGGCGCAAGGGTCGAGCCAAGAAAAGTGGCCTTGTTGTGGCAAGGGTAGAAAGTAGGCCTATATATAGGCTAGTGGCCACGCTTGCCTCGGGAAGATGGTACCAAACAGGCATGCTACAAGTGGCCTTGATGTGGAAAGGGTAGAAACTAGGCCTATATATAGGCTAGTGGACACGCTTGCCTCGGGAAGATGGTACCAAACAGGCATGCTACACGTCAATGACGTCTGTTGAACATTACTGTTCACAAAAGCTTTGAACAATGTTTACACAAAAATAATATAAAAAAATAATATGCCTCCAGTCTACCATATTGAAATACACTGAACAAAAATAGTTCGGGATCACGAATATTTTTTGGATAATTTTTTGTAGTGAAGACAATTTAGAAAAAATATCCCCCAAATATTCATGATCATTAACATTTTTTGTTTAGCATATAAAATTAATTCATTATGGCCGAAACATGCTAAACATAAAAGACTATGGGGTTCTAAGACCTTCTGCTCTTTCATCACCAAGAGATTTGCGAAAGATAAGGTGAGCTACATTATATAAAATAAATAGTGAGTGAGTGAGTTGGGTTTAACGCCGCTTTAAACAGTATTCCAGTTATATCACTGCGTGTCAGCTTAATGTGGGAGGAAAGCCCGAAGTGATGCAGGTTTCAGACGTTTACCACTTCAGTGAAACCCACGAGCACAAGTATGGTGCTGACAAACCTAGATACATAATCGGGGTGAACCGGGATTCGAACCCACAATCATAGGTTTCTGGCGGGCCCAAGGGACGGAACTCTGCACAGCAAATCGCGGCGCCTTAGACGACTGGGCCACCCGTGGCCCCTATAAAATAAATAACAAAATTAAAAAATAACAACATATGAATGAGTGCAGTGTATATCATACTGACCTCGTCATAGCCATATAGCCATAACCTCGGTGTCTGGTAATATTTATCGTAGGTAATATTAAGATCGTATGTCCGGGTAGCTATAATACTGCTCTCCCCGCCAGCAGCCCCCTCGCTCTCTGACACTGCTGATTTCCTCGTGTCAAGAGTCCCCTGAAAGGCAAATACACACATGTAACATCCATGTCATTGAAACTGTTACGGGGTGATTTCCAAGTTGAAACACAGAGGTTAACCCAGAAATCGTTACATACAGTGAGTGAGTGAGTTGGGTTTAACGCCGCTTTTAACATTATTCCAGTTATATCACGGCGTGTCAGCCCAAAGTGATGCAGGTCTCAGACGTTTACCACTTCGGTGAAACCCAAGAGCACGGGTATGGTGCTGACAAACCTAGAAACATAATCGGGGCAAACCGATTCCATCCCACAATCATAGGTTTCTGGCTTGCCTAAGGGACGCAACTCTGCACAGCGAATCGCGGCGCCTTAGACGACTGGGCCACCCGTGCCCCCCATTACGTACAGAACCAAATTGCGAAATCTATAAATGACCACACAAGATCTATGTATATTCACACAACATTCTCTTCTGTCATGTTACAATATATGAACATTTTTCAATCATTAGCTGCACCGATAATTACAACAAATATATTTACAACACCTGTGGTGTCAGATCATGGAAAATATATTGATTGTTTGATATATTGATTTTTTATATATACTCAACAACAAAAGTTCCTGTGACACCACTATATTAGTGTATTTAGTGTAAGTAAAGTTTGGTTTTCAGTATTGTAGTACATGTATGGAATCAAGTCGCAACTGCTTCAGAAAAGCATGCATTCCATACAAAAGTTGACTTTTATGCAAGCCCCATGCATTTCACTACCCAAGAATGGGCATAAAAACATGTGCGTTAACGGGATTCCATATGCATTGTTTAGCATCGTGCTGACAAGAACCACTCAGAAAAAGAACAAAATTACATAATTATTCAACATTACGAAATGCCATGCCTGTTTGAAAATGAGCGACTGCGAACCATTAGTATGCTTGAAGCAGGACCGAGTCAACGTGATGTTGCAAGACAATTTAACGCCCACAGAAACACCATTTGGTGTTTATGGTAACGTTGGCAACAGACGAATGCAGTCAGAGACCATCCTCGGAGTGGCAGGCCACGCGTAACCAATAATTGACAAGACAACTGGATTCAAACAACACACCTACGAAATCATTTCCAGCCAGCAACAGTGACTGCAAGAAGCATCCCTGGCCTTCGACGAATATTTTCACAAACCGTATGTTGTCGCCTCAGATGTGCAGGGATTGTCGCCAGAAGACCTGCCAGACGTCCCATTTTAATAGGAAACCACCGTCGAGCATGTCTACAGTGTCTACACTGGACGGCCATGCAGTGGGGACAAGTTCTATTCACTGACGAGTCTCGTTTTCACCTCAGCCACAGTGATGGGTGGACTCGAGTGTACCGACGTCGAAGTGGGCGACAGCGTTATGGTATGGGGTGGTATGACAGCAAGACAGAGGACCTGTTGAAACGGTTTCTACCGTTTTTGCATTGTCATGGCCCAGGCATTACCTTTCAACATGACAACGCCCGGCCTCATATTGCTTGTTTTGTTCAGGATTCTCTTCAACAAAACAATGTGAATGTCATCCCCTGGCTGGCTCGCTCCCCTGATCTCTCACCAATTGAGCACATTTGGGATAAGACGTCAACCACGTGTTCCACAGACAATCCAGGAATTTCAAAACATGCTCCAGCAGATATGGACAGATATCCAACAGGACTTTGCGCGACGCCTGGTCCATTCCATGAGACGAAGATCTGTTGCTTGCATCACAACCAGAGGTGGACACACGCTATTGATTTGTAAATTGACATTTTGGCACGTTCATATTTTTAATGAAATCCCACATTTTCTGAAGTCAACATGGCAAATTAAACCATTTGAACACTTACAGGAGTCTTTTATTGGCTGCAAACCGAAATTGTTTCAGATTTGGTAAAAAAGATAACTTTGCATGAAATCTTATTCAATGTCACAGGAACTTTTGTTGTTCAGTATATATTGATTGTTTGATATTTTCATTATTTGAATGGAAGTGAAAAGAGTGTATGTTGTTTAACGCCAGTCTGCAATACTTCAGTACCATCATGGTGGCCTGGAAATAATCATGGTCTGTGACAGGAGTCTATGAGCATGATGAGATGGCAAGCAAGTAGCAGAGAGACAGGGATCAACCATCCAGTACAACTTAGTCCCGTCTTGGGACCGCAATGGAGAGAACATATATACTTACCTGGCTTCCATAGGGTGAGAACACACTGGTGAATCACATGTTGTATTGTATAGCACATTTTTATTGCCCACGGGTGAGGTGAGGTGAGGTGAGGTGAGGTGAGGTGAGGTGAGGTGAGGTGAAATGGGGTTTAACATTGTGTTCTCTGTGTGAGTGCATGTCTTTATCTGTCTGCGTGTACTAGTCCGGACTGATGCAGATTTATGGTGCCAGCCCACTGAGATACCATAGTTTAACATGAATACCCAACATGGACACAGTGTACTGACCCTGAGCTGACCAGTTTTATTCCCTTAATGCTGAGCGCCAGATAGGGTAACAACAAGTGCCATCTCTTTACGTCTTTTGGTATGACATGGCAGGGGATCAAACCCCTGAGCTTCCACTCTCCGGGCGGATACACTACCACTAGACCACAGAGGCTGCCCACAAAGTAGGAAATATCACTTCTCGCGCACCAGGTTATTGCTTCTGTCATTTGGACGGCATTGGTGACGTCAATCAAATCTTATTGTGTCGTAAGGTCGGAAAGACGTTACACTAAAAGCAACGTCATTGCTGAAGATTGTTGACATCATTCGACAAATTGTGTTTTTCTAGGACAGCGGTGGTGATCACGAAACTTGTGTAAGAATTAATGTATTACACTCGTTCTCGCTCAGGACATACCAGAATTCTGACACTAGTTTCGTAAAATCAGTATGACACACATGTGAGTGTAATCATCTCTATATACGGCAGGTAACCAGTGGATCCGTATGCATTCCAGTTATCATTCTCAAATCCCTGGGGAGTATACAACCCAAGCTGCTTATTGGGATAGAAGGTTTATACATCCATTGTTGGCCCCAAGTCTGAATAAGAACTCGGTCATTAACGGGTTACGATCCATGTATCATTTCTGTGTTTGTTTGTTTATTTGACTGTTTGTTCGTTGTTTAACGCCGCACTCAGCAATATTCCAGCTACATGACGGCAGTCTACAAATAATCAAATCTGGACCAGACAATCAGTGATTAACATCATGAGCAATGATCTACCCAAATGGGATGTGATGACATGCATCAACCTGACCACCCAATCACATAAGTTGCCTCTTACGACAATCATGGATTGCTGAAGACTGGTTTGTCACAGGGCTGGTTGTGTTAAGGATTATGGATCACAGGGTACATCAATGTGAAGATCAAGAACATCAAGGACAAGTACCTCATCCGTTTCCTCCAGCATCCCACTCTCCTCAAAAGCCTCCATGTCTTCAGCCTCTCCATCGTCATCGTCATCATCATCGTCATCATCATCACCGGCTGCATTACCCGTGGCCTTGCTTCCTCCCTGAAGATGAATATAGCAAAGTAATATATAGACCTACACTGAACGACAAGGAACTACATGGAACTACACGGAACAACATGGAACTACACGGAACAACAAGGAACTACATGGAACTACACGGAACTACACGGAACGACATGGAACTACATGGAACTACACGGAACAACAAGGAACTACATGGAACTACACGGAACGACACGGAACTACATGGAACTACACGGAACAACAAGGAACTACATGGAACTACACGGAACGACAAGGAACCACATGGAACTACACGGAACGATATGGAACTACATGGAATGACACGGAAGGACATGGAACTACACGGAACAACAAGGAACTACATGGAACTACACAGAATGACATGGAACTACAAGGAACCACATGGAACTACATGGAACAACAAGGAACTACATGGAACTACATGGAACGATATAGAACTACATGGAACGACACGGAAGGACATAGAATCAACACGGAAATACACGGAACGACAAGGAACTACACGGAACGACAAGGAACTACACAGAACGACAAGGAACTACACGGAACGACTGGAACTACACGGAACGACAAGGAACTACACGGAACGACAAGGAACTACACGGAACGACTGGAACTACACGGAACAACAAGGAACTACGTGGAACAACAAGGAACTACATGGAGCTACAAGGAACGACAAGGAACTACACGGAACGACAAGGAACTACACGGAACGACAAGGAACTACATGGAACGACAAGGAACTACACGGAACGACTGGAACTACACGGAAAGACAAGGAACTATGTGGAACAACAAGGAACTACAAGGAACGACAAGGAACTACACAGAACGACAAGGAACTACATGGAACGACAAGGAACTACACGGAACGACTGGAACTACATGGAACGACATGGAACTAAGCGGAACGACAAGGAACTACACCGAACGACAAGGAATGACAAGGAACTACACGGAACAAGGAACTACATGGAATGACACGAAACTACATGGAACTACATGGTACGACAAGGAACTATACGGAACTACATGGAACTACGAAGAACGACAAGGAGCTACACGGAACTACATGGAACTACACGGAACAAGGAACTACATGGAATGACACGGAACTACATGGAACTACATGGTACGACAAGGAACTACACGGAACTACATAGAAGAGATTAACTTTGATCTAGCGTCATAAAGTAAAGGGAAAGATTAGTCTTAAAAAAATAAAAGAATTGGTTCTCAGGCAATGGTTTTTGAAAATATAGTGCAGGCTAGCAGGCGGCTCGTTTTTGTTAAGGCCTATGTAACCAAATAAACAGTTGTGTACAATCAACCTGGAAAGGGCCCAAGGCCTCCCTACATAACTGTATTCCTTGATAGGTAAAATCTGGAATACAGTATTTGACTATTGATTGACTACCAGTGTGAGCATAATGCACACATACAATGAGCTTCGATTTTTATTTCACAAAGCGAAGACGTTATGAGAACACACGACAGGACAGGTAGGTCAACAAATCCGTACTAAAGTACGAAAGTTAGTCCTGTTATTACACTATCTGGCTACAAAAGTGTTCATTGTCTATCTGGACTTATGCTAGCACTCCATTATATTACCTTTATCCAAGGCTTCATTAAATTTTGTTTTCATTAATTTCGGTAAAATTGCGTATGAACTGATAGGCAAATCACATTGAACATTAGTCGTTAGAGATACAAAGTCTTCAGTCTTCCTATCCCTCTATTGAAATTTGTTTTCAGTTATGATACTGGCTGTTTATTTTATGAGACAAATACACATGAAATCTTAATCTCTGCCTGTTATACATTGTCTGGCATACAGTACACAAATACCACTGAATTATTACAATCATTATGTCTGGTGATATTTTATTGTAAATTTCATTATTTCATTGTCCAAATTTGTAAACGACAAAACAAGCACACAAACTCCTATTGCCGCCATTACCATAAAACGAGATGTGCAGTAAAGCAGTGCACATGTAAAGGGAAGTGACTGCATGTAATATTGGATCACAATGTTTTCAAGTGTTGTAGCATTTCACTGCCGGGGTTGTGTGTTCGAGACTCGGAATATTAAAGGATTTTTATTTTGAAAATGGAATTAAAAACGAAACATGGGGCGGACTTTGTGAAGATGCAGTGGTCCCCGAGGACCAAGACTACTTTTTTTTACCTTTGGGTCTAGAGTCATCTCTGCCACGGCATCCCCAACAGCGCCCACTGTCTGCTCACCTTTAACAATAAGCAGCAAATATTAAGAAAGAACAATATCATACATGTCATAACCAGACTTCCACGTTTTCCGCCCCATTTTGGGCTCCTCATGGTGAAGACAGAGCATCAAATGTCAGTGTCACCAGGGACGTGGCGAGCATCAGCCACTCTAACTGGCAAGGCTGAGCATTGTACGTCAGTCTTACCTGAGAAACAGTGAACATCATACGTCAGTCTTACATGAGAAATGGTTGTTGTTTCTTTGCTATATGACGGTGGTCTGTATATAATCGAGTCTTGGCCAGGCAATCCAGTGATTGACATCATGAGCATCGATCCACGCAATTGGGATACAATGACGTGCACCAACGTTCAACCGAGTCAGCGATCCCGTTAGTCACCTCTTACGACAAACATTGGTTGCCGAAGACCAATCTTAACCCGGATTTTCAACCAAAAACCAAGTCAGCGAGCCTGACCACCCGATCCCGTTGGTCGCCTCTTACGACAAGCAAAGTTGCCTTTTACGTCAAGCATGGGTTGCTAAAGACCTATTCTACCCCGGATCTTCATGGGTATGAGAAATGGTGAACATAATACGTCAGTCTTACTTAAGAAATGGTGCACATCGATATCAGTCTTACTTGAGAAATGGTGAACACTGTAAGTCAGTCTTACTTGAGAAATGGTGAACACTATAAGTCAGTCTTACTTGAGAAATGGTGAACACTGTAAGTAGTCTTACTTGAGAAATGGTGAACACTGTAAGTCAGTCTTACTTGAGAAATGGTGAACATCGATATCAGTCTTACTTGAGAAATGGTGAACACTGCAAGTCAGTCTTACTTGAGAAATGGTGAACACTGTAAGTCAGTCTTACTTGAGAAATGGTGAACATCGATATCAGTGTTACTTGAGAAATGGTGAACACTGTAAGTCAGTCTTACTTGAGAAATGGTGAACACTGTAAGTCAGTCTTACCAGGAAAGTGGTGAGTGTCGACCCAGCCACCGTCCTCGTCGTCCTCCTCGATGACCTTCTCCTGTTCCTCCTGGTGGTTGTCCATCTGCTTCACACGCTTGTAGCACGGCACTGAATCCCCCAGGAGGAAACAACCACAAACAAATTACATAACCATAAGCAATGAGTGAATGTTGTTTTAGACCAAGTCATCACTATTCCAGCTTCACCATGACAGCCTGTCAGTATGTGGGTCTGAGCCAGACAAACCAGTGGTTGACATAATGAGCACCGTCCAATGTCATGGATTCATGCTAACACTCAGTCAACTAAGTCTGACCACCCAATTCTCTGGAGCTGCTTCCAACTACAAACAACAGAGTGTGGGTTCTACTCTGAGACAGACAAACCAGTGGTTGACATAATGAGCACCATCCAATGTCATGGATTCATGGTAACACTCAGTCAACTATGTCGGACCACCCAATTCCCTGTTGCGGATTCCAACTACAAACAACAGAGTGTGGGTTCTACTCTGAGACAGACAAACCAGTGGTTGACATAATGAGCACCGTCCAATGTCATGGATTCATGGTAACACTCAGTCAACTAAGTCTGACCACCCAATTCTCTGGAGCTGCTTCCAACTACAAACAACAGAGTGTGAGTTCTACTCTGAGACAGACAAACCAGTGGTTGACATAATGAGCACCGTCCAATGTCATGGATTCATGGTAACACTCAGTCAACTAAGTCAGACCACCCAATTCTCTGGAGCTGCTTCCAACTACAAACAACAGAGTGTGGGTTCTACTCTGAGACAGACCAACCAGTGGTTGACATAATGAGCACCATCCAATGTCATGGATTCATGGTAACACTCAGTCAACTAAGTCAGACCACCCAATTCTCTGGAGCTGCTTCCAACTACAAACAACAGAGTGTTGGTTCTACTCTGAGACAGGTCAGTACAGGGTGGATTGGGCCAGAATAAAGGACCAAAGAGAAAAATTTCAAATATTTCACTAAAACAATGAGAAAACTGAATTGAACCGAAACACTCTTTCAACTGTGAGATAGAAGCATTAGGACTAACCAAGGCAACTGTTAGTAACGTGGTAATGCATAATGATAATAAAAGACAAGGAAAATCTAATTAAAAATGAAACGTCTACCTCAGGGTTAGACATGATAGACACCATCTTAAAAATGTAGTGAACCACAACACACATCAGACAAGTGATACCTTTGAAAAAAACAAAAGTTCAAGAAAAACAGCTATTCCATGACGAACAACTGATACTGATTCATAAAACATGACTTCGACCAGTAAATTCAAGGCTGTAGATCACTGTGTCTGATAGAAATACTGCGGTAACAAATTAAAGATTTAAATTATGCATAAACTGAACAGAATTCAGTTAGCCGTAATGTCATGAATGGATCTAAAGAATTCCCCATGGAAGTATACCGGTAATATTGATGATGGACGTGACATAACATGCAGGGATCGTGCAAACAATCCGTCAGATGAAGTCAAATCATTGGCTACTTTCCTTTTAGTGGATAACTTAACCGATTTTTGATGAGGATGCTAAAATTTCTGGCTAAAATTAGTTAGTGCAGTAGTTTCTTGAGTTTCAGATCAATGGCACATACAAAACTCATTGGAAACAGTCAAGTTTTCCCTTTTCCCAGAATAGCGAACTAGGGGCAGTGTCTTAACTGTAATTTGAGCTGGAATGTTTTAAAGAGCTTCAAGAGACCATAACAGAATCTATACCAGTCTTACCATTCCTGGTGATGAGGAACTGTTTGTCTTTTGGAAGATATGGTTTGATTTTGGTCTCATCTCCCACAGCCCACTGCCATGTTGGACAATGATGTACGATGTGATCTCCTGCTGCAACGAACTGCAAAAAACAATGGCTTCCCAGGGTTAGAAACTAACAGTTTTTGTCCACTAATCCTTATAATGATAACATATAGCAAAACCCTTAAAATGGGCCAATTTCTACTAGTCCTTAGGATACCTTTACTATTGGGCAGTTTGGTAAGGACTATAGGACTAGTGCCAATTTCTATCGCTGCTTCTTCAGATAAGGTCACATGTAACCATGGTAACAAATGGTATATGCCTTAACTGTGAAATGTGCATGGCAGTAAAAACTAGGATTCGCTAAAAAGTCATGAAGGCAATCTGTGCCAAGGCTTGAATTTGTCTCTTAGCATCACGTTTAGTACATGTCAGTGGGATCATATGGATATTAATAATTGAGCTTTGGAGATGGGACAGAATGTTACTAGACTTCTCACTTTGGACTAGTGGCTAAAGCCACAGACTGTGAAGGCAAAACAAATTTGCAGTTACCACATTAATTCTGTTTGTTGTTTCAAGCGCAGTCAGCAACATTGCAACTATATCACAGCAACATGTAGATAATCAAATCTAAGCCCAGCAAACCTTTGACTAAACACTGACAGCATGATTAAGGTCCCATCCAGCATGCAATCAACCAAGTCTCTGATTGTTTGTCTGTTTTTTAACATCACACTCTTTGATATTGCAGCTATGTGACTATGGCCTGTAATAATTGATTGTGGACTGGACAATTCAGTGATTGACATTCTGAGCACTGATCCATGCAGTTGGGATGAGATGACATGCATCAACCAAGTCAGCGAGCCTGACCACCCTATCCCGTTAGTCGCCTCTTATGACAAGCATGGGTTGCCGAAGACCTATTCTAACCCGGATCTTCACGGGTAGTCGTCTATAATATGCATTCTGAATACAATACTTCAGAAGGTATGATTTGTTTGCTTGTTGTTTAACGCCGCACTTGGCAATATTCCAACTTTGTTACGACGGTCTGTAAATAATTGAGTCTGGACCAACCAATCCAATGAGTGATATTGTGCAGACCGATCGCATTGGATGCTGAAGACCAATTTTAACATAGATGTTCACAGTCCACTTCAGAAGGTATACGTCAGCTTTGAATTTACGAAACTAGAAAGTGTGACACAGAACCCAATTTGGTGTTGTTTTACGCCACATTCAGCAATATTCTAACAATAGTATGCCGACCCACGCATAATCGAGTCTGGACTAGGTGAACCAGTGACTGAAATCATGAGCCACTTAGTCAGCCAAAGTCATACGGATATTACGACAATTGTATGGAACACTGGATACTATTCCTCAGAATCAAACAGGGTGGCAAGTGAAGGTGAGGTGAGGTGAGGTGAAATGGGGTTTAACGTCGCGTCCAAGATTATTGCACTTATATAGCGACGTGCATGTACGTGTATGTGTGTGTGTGGCTGCTTGTACTAATCCGGACTGATGACGATTTATAGTGCTAGCTCACTGAGATACCATGCCACAGTTTAACATGAATACCCCACTCAGACCCCGAGCCGACCAGTCCTTGTTTTAGCCCCTCAATGCCGTGCGCCAGACAGAGTAATAACAAGTACAATCTTTTAACATCTTTTTGTATGACGCGGCCGGGGATCGAACCCCGGACCTTCCACTCTCCGGGCGGACGCTCTACCACAAGACCACGGAGGCGGTCGGCAAGTGAAGAATAATGTTGTCATCATCTCGCGACACACTTCACTACAGGGATGTGGTTGATGTGTCGTGCTGATGAGCAGGCATAAGATGACATCAACTAGTCATCCTGTTAGTTGCCTCTTACGATAAGCATGGGTTGCTGAAGACCAATTCTAACCCAAAACTTCACTATTCTATTGTAACCCGGGGACCAAAGTCCTGCATCCTAGAAAGGATGAAATCAGAACACGGTTCAGTACCTACCTCTTCTGGTGTGATTACTCCTGTTTCCTTAAACTTTGACTCCTGGAAATAAAATAAAATTTACATCATAATCATAATGTAACAGGATATTGTATATATAGTTTTTAGGAATATAGTTTTAGCTCTTTTCATTTCAAGTAGTTGTATACATCTTCATTAGTTGTAGTACTAAATGTATATGCTTGGGTTAAGAGTCCAAGCGGTTGGTCCAATTTTATTGAAGGGTGGACAGGTTAGTCTATTCCTGTCCCTTTGTCACCAACTATCTAGCTTGTCAATACAATAGCTTTCAGCTTCCTAGCTGATTAACATTATCTAACTACAGCTTTCCTCCCTAACATTTGCACACTTTTTATTCACTCTGCTTATAACTCTGCACAGACAGGACATGGACTACATATAGTTCAGGAATGCCATAATCCTATATGATGTGGGTTTATAGACACACCCCGGTGTCACCCACAGGGGTTGATTGATCAATTGTGATTGAAAATGGAATAAATGTCACCTCAACAAACACAACCGCAGCCTGTCATTTTTCATAATGAACCACCCCTGCTACAATAACTGTGTCCATTAAAACTGACAAGACTGATTATTATCATCATGATAACTCTCAACAAATAATGACCAATTGTATTTGACAAAACTGACTGGTTCAATATCACTAAGGGGGTGGTTGTCGGCACAGGCACTACAGATAAGTACTCCAGGTACAGAAATGTACCCTGACCCATGAGAATACAGAATGTTACACGGTACCCCAAAGGGTGGATGAGTCCATATTCCACAAATCGAAACCGGTTCATGTTTTAGTACATGTTCGGCTTGCTGATGAGTGCATGTTGTGCATAACAGAATTACAGTATGTACAGCACTGTGAGCTCGTTTTTATATAGCACCCTGGAAGGCATCTCATACAACAGTAGGACAGTTTCAATTCAGAAAAAGAGTGAGTGAGTTGGATTTAATGGCGCTTTTAACATTATTTCATTTATATCATGGCGTGTCAGCTTAATGTGGGAGGAAAGCCCGAAGTGATGCAGGTCTAAGACGTTTACCACTTTGGTGAAACCCACGAGCACGGGTATGGTGCTGACAAACCTAGAAACATAATTGGGGCGAACCGGGATTCGAACCCACAATCATAGGTTTCTGGGGTGCCCAAGGGACGCAACTCTGCACAGTGAATCGCGGCGCCTTAGACAACTGGGCCACCCGTGCCCCCTCAGAAAAAGAAGAAAATCTCAGATCTTCTGGGACATAAACAGGAAATTGAGCTCCCATGCTAGATTTTAGTTTGGATAGTCGAGAGCCACGATGGGGTCCTACAGTCAAGACATGACCCCACATCATGTCTTGACTGTAAGACCCCTCGGCTCTAGGCTACGTTTTGACACACGTGTAGTCTACACAAGCATACAAGGAACTAGTTTAGAACACTACGGAATGGACACACCCCATATATTCTGATTTTGATTAGGGTACAGACACACCCCATATATTCTGATTTTGATTAGGGTACATTTCTGTGTATCAAAATGTACCTGGGTTTCACACATCTGCTGACAACTACCACTTCAGCTAAAATAGCAACAATGACATCTATATAGACTTCAAATAAAAAAAAGCACCTCTAAAAACTTTACTAATTATATAGACGCCATGGGTTTACGGTTTTATATTTGAATGATTGAGTCAGGCTGTCAAAGAAAGCGAAGATTTAACACCAAAAACAGTGAAAACATGAAGGAAACTGAAAATGTTCAACGATTAGTTTTCAAACAGATTGACGTGTTACCTTCAAAACCGGTGTAAGATATTCTGCAACTCCAAGGGCTGTTCCCTTCACGGAATTGATGATATTCTGCATCTTGAAATGCCTGGAATCAGTGTCACAAGACACGAAAACCTGGAAATCCCCTCCCACTTCTACCTTAGTACCTATTGAATAGAGAGCGATCTAAGGGAGGTAATCATATCTATCTAGAGTAGCGTCCCTTTATTCGTCTGTTTGGCAGTTTTTGCAGAGCCATTTTCTCCAAGATGTTATCAGCCTAGGCGTTGTAATAGTCCGTGTCTGAACTTGAGACATTGTCTCTGTATTATTAGGTTTTTATATAATTAACTCATAGGTCGTTGTCTATCGTAAATGTCGCAAAAAAACTCTGTTATTTTCGAATGTCGACATATTTTGGACATTGTTTGGGTCCCACAGAACGATCTGTCGTCGTGCTACGAATGCCGGGAGCCAACCTATGCAAGAAAGGTTCTTTTCTGTGCGGAGATTGATAAGTTCTAAACAAAACAAAAAGCAAGGCTTACGCTTTTAAATCGCTGCAAAAATGTAAATATAGATTTTCTTTTAAAATGCAGTCGTTTGTTATAGTTACATGACCTTTGGTTAATGTACAGGTGGGGCGGTCGGGTAGCCTAGTGGTTAAAGCGTTCGCTCGTCACGCCGAAAATCCGGGTTCGATTCCCGACATGGGTACAATGTGTGAAGCCCATTTCTGGTGTCCCCCGCCGTGATATTGCTGGAATATTGCTAAAAGCGGCGTAAAACAATACTCACTCACGTACAGGTAGACCCACATATCAGTGATGAAACTTGTGGTTGATGAGTTGATGAGAGTTTCGATATTGTTGTGTTTTCTTGTTGCATTAGTTTTGATGACATCTGGGTTTGATCACAACGCTCGACCTGTTCTAGACTTATAGAACGTGGAAGGGAGAGGGGTCCTATACTACTTAACGTCCGGGGACATTTTGTGATTTGTGTTAAAGAGTAATCGGCATTCAGAGGAGAGCAATGTATCTTCCCGAGGCAAGAGAGTTAACTAACTATAAAAGTCCAGTTTCCACCCTTGCCGAACTAGGCTGGAAATTATGGAGTTAGATTTTGGCTGGACTAACGAGTCTATTCATAGTCCAATCAAAATCGCGCACCGAAATCGAAATCCGGTTCGTAAACTGTCATGCAGAGTTCGGTCGATTGCAGGATCTGCAAAACATGTGCAACTCGTTGTCAACAGATATTTTCCAAATCTTTTCATGTTTTTAATCAAGGTGCTCACGTGATTTGATGTACTTCGCGAAGTAAGAACCGTTTTATCACAAAATAGATATTGATGGTCGATCACATCGCCTTGACTTGGGCGCCACCATTTTGTTTGAAGCAAATTCATGTGATACGAAAGGTGGAATCTGATCCATGTGGGAGAGGACATAACTAGTAATAGCCACTGGTGGCGCTCATTCGTGACCAACTCGTTTTATTCCGGGACAAGCCGAATAGCGACTCGTGCCCCGCTCATGGCCATTTTTGCGACCGGGTTCCGCCTTAGCGCAAACGGGCATACTCGTTGCGTAATGGTTCACTTACATTACCCCATAGATTATATTTATTTCAAATGCAATTAAATCCACATCGGGACGTGCGAAATTATACAGTATGATTGAACACATTTAACTGTGTCTTTGGTATATTTTTAGATGCAAGACATATGTAAAATCAAAACTTATTTCTGATGGATTCTTTGACGAAGAACTTGAAATCATGCGCGCATAGGGGGACGAGTCTTCTTGCAGGTTACGGAAAGGGGCGAGTGGTGACGAATGTGGTGGCGCTACGATCGAGCCCAGGAATTTCAGCCTAGTTCGGCTAGGGTGTAAACTGGACTTTCAAAGTCAGTTAACGCTCTTGCCTCGGGAGGATGAGTGAAAAATTAGATGGCATTCATGATTCAAGGGGGTTGGCACCCTCATAAATGGCACTTTATTATAATTTATACAAGAACACAGTCATATAGAATACACTTTATTATTTAGTATCATTCTCTCTGACGTTTCCGGACAGCCCCGTACGTTATTTAGAAGGACCAATCTTGACATATTTTTGATAGCTCTGTTTTAGATATATTGTACAGGACAGCTGCCTGAGTGCGGTCTGTGTGTCATAAGCGTTAGCCTTTTACCTTTATCCAGTAGTCCGTTGCCCATTGCTCTTTACATTTCTCTGACCCGTGAAGATCCGGGCTAGAATAGGTCTTCAGCAACCTATGCTTGCCGTTAGAGGCGACTAACGGGATCGGTTGGTCATGCACTCTGACTTGGTTGATGCATGTCATCGATCCCAATTGCGTGATCGATACTCATGATAATAATCACTGGATTGTCTGGTCCAGACTCGATTAGTTACAGACCGCCGTCATATAGCTGGAATATTGCTGAGTGCGGCGTAAAACAACCATACAACCAACTTTTAATTTCTTGTAAGCTTTGCTTATACAAATCCATGCATTAAGATCTATTGAACATATATTGTGGCAGAGACTGAGGCGTTATATACAAGTGTTCAAGAAGAGGTGAGGTGAGGTGAAATGGGGTTTAACGTCGCGTCCAAGATTATTGCACTTATATAGCGACGTGCAAGCACGTGTATGTGTGTGTGTGTGGCTGCTTGTACTAGTCAGGACTGATGCCGATTTATAGTGCTAGCAAACTGAGATACCATGCGGCAGTTTTTACATGATTACCCCACTCAGACACAGTATACTGCCTCCGAGCCGACCAGTCCTTGTTTTAGCCCCTTAATGCCGAGCGCCAGACAGGGTAACAACAAGTACAATCTTTTAACGTCTTTTGGTATGACGCGGCTGGGGGGATAGAACCCCGGACCTTCCGCTCTCCGGACGGACGCTCTACCATTAGACCACGGAGGCGGTCCGTGTTCGAGAAGAAAATGTACTGCAACATATTTTTAATGTCACTTAACGCCCATGTACACATTGTTTTAGTTCCCGATGTGATCCCAGATTTGACTGAGTCACAATTTAAGCAACCACACTGGAGATCGAGTTCTTATTGTCTCCGTGATCGATTGCGTGTCATCGCACTGCATGGATCGTTGTTCGTTATCAATCACTGGTTAGTGTAGCCCAGACTGGTTTATTTACAGACCGCTGTCATATTGCTGGAGTAAGTATTGCTGAATGCGGCGTTAAAGAACAAACAACCCTTGTTTGAAGTATTTCTCATGTCTCGGGGGACAAGGAAATCAGGACTTTGGATAATGTATGACGTATTACCATGCCATCATGTATGTTGACTGAACTCTGTCTTCGAGCCATTCGTCACCACCCGCCCCTTTCCGTGCTATTCGGCTTGTCCCGGAATAACACGATTTGGTCACGAATGTCTTCGAGCAACACAAGTCACACAGACACTTCCTTTCTCAGTCGTGCAATATGCTGCATAGTTATTTGTTTGTCTGGTGATTTGTTAAAGTGGCGGCCACCTAGCTTTTGGTCATAACGAGGGGACGGTCGGGTAGTCTAGTGGTTAAAGCTTTCGCTCGGGTTCGATTCGCGACATGGGTACAATGTGTGAAGGCCATTTCTAGTGTCCCCCGCCGTGATATTGCTGGAATATTGCTAAAAGCGGCGTAAAACCAAACTCACTCTGGTAATAACGTTCACCTAATTTTGAAGGCAGAGCTTACTTTAGCAACATGATGTAACGTTACATATTTTGAAACATGGGGAACGTCCCAATTCTTGGTGAGGCATTTAAACTGTAGGCACGGTTGGCCCAGTCGCATTAAGGCACCGCAAATCGCCCCGCAGAGTTGCGTCCCTTAGTTGTCCGTGGGTTCAGATCCCTGATTCGCCCTGTTTGTGTTTCTAGGTTAAGACTTGCATCGCTTTGGGCTGTCCTCCACATTAAACTGACACGCGGCGTTAAACCAAATTCACTCCCTAACTCCAAAAAAACATATGTAGTGCAGGCTCCGATCATTTTAAAGGAAGGCGACTATGCTTGTCGTAAGAGGCGACTAACGGATCGGGTGGTCAGGCTCACTGACTTGGTTGATGCATGTCATTGTATCCCAATCGTGTACATCGATGCTCATGATGTCAATCACTGGACTGTCTGGTCCAAACTTGTTTTTTTACAGACCGCCGTCATATAGCTGGAATATTGCTGGAATTTCACCATGTGTGAGGACTACAAATATATCTTATTTTTATGACGTAAGTTCGTATAAAAACATAATTTTAAAACATTCAACCGTACATGCTACTTTCAATTAATCATACATCTAAAAACCGCAATTGTTACATATACTTCTGTATGTCTAAAAATGGGACTTTGAAGAAAAAGAGTCCAAATGTTTGATGTCATGTATCTCTATGGTAAATATGAATTGTAGTTTGTGCATTGATTTGTATCATAATGTGATGTTTCACCTATAGCGACCAGCATGCGGTTTCTTGCATAAGCGACAGCGTGAGAAACTGACTTTGTTCAGATCTGATAACAAGAGGGGCTATTATAAGAATGACAGGCTCGTTATTGAGGGCATACTAGAAGCACTACAAGTAGAAACGGGAGAACTCCCATTGAAACTTAGAAGAGAGCAGGCAATATTATCGTTCTGGGGACGAACATCAAACCCTTTGGTTAAAAAGATATGGGCTACACCCTCCCTGGACTTTAAAAACTCCCAAAGTTGACACTGCTTTAACATCAGAAGTCACAGTCCCCAACTTATTTTTTCATGATTTTTATGTATTTTCATGATTCAAATAAATTGTTTTCTATAAAAAAAATCCAGGTGTGTGTGTGTGTGTGTGTGTGTGTGTGTGTGTGTGTGCTGCCGCACTGATATTCATGGAAATAAAAAGCAGACTCACTGGCGTAGCTAGCTATAGACAAAGCGGAGATACAGCCTATTCCCTTTTGTAAACTAGGGATAAAAAGCAAAATCATAGCCCAAAGATGGCAAGCCCAATGGGTCGCAAGTAAGATCGGCAGATGGCTATACAAAATTCAGCACAGCCATCTCACGCCTCAGATGATTCAAATAAATTATTTTCTATAAAAAAAATCCATGTGTGTGTGTGTGTGTGTGTGTGTGTGTGTGTGTGTGTGTGTGTGTGTGTGTTT